ATGAATAAATGAATAAATGAATAAATGAATGGGTAGGTGAGTGGAAGGATGGATGGGTGGGTGGGTGGGTGCATGCATGCATGCATACATCAAGTATGAATACATAAGAGTATAATTTGGTCGAGAAYGTATGCTATCTTAACTATCAATAAACATCACTTTTGTAAGCTTGGAGGATCTTGACGGTCATATGTATATCTTGACTTCTGGTTTCCGAGAGTAAAAATAATCAGATAGAATACCTTGAGGACTTATTTTGACAGTCAATGATTTAACCGTCGATCTAGTTCAATGCATATGAAACAAAAATGCCATAATGTGGTTGATACTAAGTTACAGATGTATASATACCATATCTGTAGGCTTTGTCTTCTTCCATTTTGCAATACTATGTCATGTGACTTTATGATTCTGTCTGTGGATAACATTGAAGTAAATTTTGTTAGATCTATATACTGAAAACAATTAAATTAGCAGAAAAGAATAGGAAGGAAAGTTGAGAATAGTCACGTTTTGTATAATATCCACTGGCACCCATGCTTGCAAGACATGAAGAGATAACTAGCTAAAAACTAGTGTGAGCTGAGCTGAGCTAACAAAATGACTTCCGGTAAGACAGAWCAACAATACCACAGGAAGCCCACTTTTAGACCAACTCTAGTAAATGTTGTAAATTGCTGAAATGGGCTTCCTCTTTCATGAAATGACATCTGGTTTGACCTATCGTCAATTTTTCATGACGAACCGTCTCATTTTGTTTGTATGGGACATGTATTCAACGATTGGCTCGTTTTTGATGGGCTGTCAAAATGAGATCCCCTGGAAGTTGTCATGTACGATTACGCATGTGCATATACATGTGTATATATTTTGATTGGGGGATTCTTTCCTAGGGACGGGTGCAGGATATACACCCCTACCTCCACCCCCCTCTAGATGAGCTACACTATTGATGCCTGAGTTTATAAATGTCCTGATAATAAAGGATGCACCTCTCCCAATAATCCCTGATGTGATTGATCTGGAAGTGCATTGATCTTTGCCTTGTTTCAGGTATTTGATTGGATGGATATTCTATTTTCTTTATTCTTTATATTTCTCTTTCTCTATTATTTATCTATTCCATATATATTTTTTCATTTATTATTCTCTCCAGCTGACTTAATTATTGTAATTAATAAGAAAAAAGCTGTCTGGTTACAGTTAGCTACTACCAGATTTTCTGTTTTCAATATTTTGTATCATTATATATTTCAGTCTGTAAAACTGGTAGTAAATAATTGATTATTGATTGATTGATTGACCCCCAAGAGGCGCCACACTGGCCACACACAATGTGATAGGTCTGACATGACTTAATATTGCTTTGTCCTGTCAAATTAATACACCATGTTTGTGTTGCAAGCTTTTTTCACTCATATGAAAAATGCTCTATAGCATCAAGCTACCATGATAATTAATGGCATTATTGCCCGGGGGGGGGGGGGGGGNGGGGGGGTACTCTTGTCCGTTTAGGGTAGGGATGTGCCGCTGAGCCCTCTGAACCCTGACCCTGTTCCAGAGTAAAAATCGCTGAAATTCATACCCTGTTCCAGAGCTAGATTGCTGAAAACCCTGTTCCAGAGAGGAGAGAGCGTGATTTCATGTACCTGCTCCAGAGCGAGCGCAATTTTATATAACCTGTTCCAGAGTAGAATCGCTGAAAACTATACTCTGTTTGGCGGCACGTACCCGTATTGYGAATACAGGGGAGTACCCCCCCTCCCCCTGGGTATTCTTGTATTAATTAAGCTTATAATAAGCTTATAATAATTGAGAATTGCATGAATATTCATAGAATAATCTAATTTAATTCTAGATTTTATAGGCAGAGCTCGTAAATAATTAGTGTCTGTTTTTGAAATTATTTTCATAAAACAATAGTTATAGCATTATACACAATTGCTAATATAAGACCCGGTATAAGAAAACAGGATTAGAGATCCTTTACTGACATAATGAACATTTTAATGATTTATTAAGTTATAATCAGCCGATAATAAATCAAAATATTTTGAGTTCGAGGGAGGAGATGAGGAAAATTATTTTCAATTCTTGATAATTATTGCTAGAAAAAAATAAAGAACGGAAGAGAGTCCACGAAGTATATAAAAGCTTAAAATATCAGAAAATGTTCTGGCATTTTCTTACCTTTCGTCTGCACGTAACAAGCGCTAAAAACTTCCCCTTGTAGAATAGACAATATTGAAGATTTTCCCACTCCGCCGTCTCCGATCAAGGCGACTTTAAGGCCATTAGAAGTGTTGTTTTGTACCATTATTTGAGATAATTTTCGTTTTATTGGCCTTTGAACAAAATTTGTCTTGTTTTCTGGGAACTCGGCTGGAAGTCGTTTACGAGAAAGTTTCGACTTCACTTCGGATCATTGTCGGAAATACTTCGGATCTTGTGACTTTCGATATTTAAGCGAATGGCCAACGAAAGAAAAGGAGAAGCGCTAGCGAGTGTGTCCTTTGCTTCCTGCTGTGAAGGACAGTCGCTGTGAAGTGAATTTTCGAAACAGCAAGTTTTTCATCTGAAGAGGACTTTCGTGTCGGAATAAGTCGAATGGGCTTCCTGTGTTAAAACCACAGGAAGCCCATCTACTTTAATGCAGCTTTATACTTTCGGCTTACGGTTAGCTGAACTAAATAATTTTGTTGGACGGGGTCGCAAACAGCCCTGCAGGCCGTGCCTTACTCGATGAATAGCGCAGCGCGCTGATTCTAAAAATAGCTTAAAGATTCGGACAAACATTGCATTCATTTTAACCGCTACGAGGATTATACGAACCGATTTTATTATTTTTACTTAAAGTTACAATAATAACCCATGTAAACTAAGATCAACTGCGATCGGCTGTGAAAATTATTTGCTGAAAGTAAACTTGTAAGTTTGTTTGTCCGAATTTCGCCTTTGTCTTCGTTTTTATGACGTCATGGCTGCGCTGCGCTATTCAGACTTAACTTGTGTCACGCAAATGTGCAGAATTGGAACTCGATGCTTTGGCGCAACGTTGCAGAGTGACAAATCTACAGGAATCCTGCATGATTAATTAAACTTTGGTGCCGCAAGAGCAAACTTTTGGAATGGTATGTGCCCCCCTTTACCCCCTCCCTTTCTACGCTAGTGCATGGTACCCTAAGACTTGCAATCAAAGAAGTTACCCAATTCTACTGCCCAGTGAGAGACGAAAGAGCCGCATTTCACCATTTTAGAACATCTATCTAGTTGTAATGAACACTTTGCAGGTTAATGCGATGATCCGACACGGCAATGATTACAATCAGTTGTTGCTGTTAAAAAACGCATTAAATTCCCCCCATATACCCGTGCACGCTGTAAATGCGCGTTAGATCTCCGGTGGGGGAGGGTGGTAGAAATGACTTGTACGGCGAGCATTACGTTGAATTACGTTGGTTGAATTGTCGAATAACGTATACTAAAACGAATCTTAGGCTCATGTGCCGGACAGTTTTGGAGTTTGAACCTTTGTCTAAGAAACATTCTATTTCTTCGTTATTTTTTCTTTTCTATTCCTATTCTTTTCTTTTCATTTTTTTAGTGTACAGCACATTTCAGGAAGACTAGTCAACGTTTCAACGCAATACGAGTTCTCATTGCTCTCTTTTTTCTCGCGTTTTATTTATTTATTATTATTTTTTGCTTCTTCAGTGTTTGTTTGATGTAAGGTTTTTTATTCGAACCTCAAAACTTTGTAGTTCTCAAAACTTTTCTTTAATTCTCCGAGAGCATCCTATGGCAAACTCCTGCATATTTTTTCTTTTCTATTCTTTTATTTTTTCTTTTCTTTTTTTCTTTTTTTTTTTTTTTTTTAGTGTACAGCACATTTCAGGAAGACTAGTCAACGTTTCAACGCAACACGAGTTTTCATTGCTCTCTTGCTCTCTTTTTTCTCGCTTTTTTTAATGTTATGTTTTTTATTCAAACCTCAAAACTTCGTAATTCTCAAACTTTTCTTTAATTCATTCTATGGCAAACTCCTGCTTAGCAACAGAAGAATTCTAGTATTACGTAGGTGGACAGGTGAAAGGCATTTAATATATCCCGAAAGTCAATCTCTTTGACCTTTTTGTGTGACCGGCACGGTTGATAATCATCCTAGTACTATTGTTCTCCAGTTAACACATATTACAAAAAAAACTAATTCGTAGCTAAAGGAGGCACAAACTCTGCATACTCCGAAAATCGCGTAAAGACTGACCGGGTACCCGCTCTTTTTTTCTTTATCCTGCGGTTATCAGCTACCTTAAATTTTTAAAATATTAATCTTTTGGCGTAATTGTATAAACTGCCATTTATGACAAGCTACAGCGTGTGAAGATGGGGGTTGCTGATGTCGAAAGACTTCATAACCTTGTAGATTTATCCCTAAAATCTCAGGAATTTGGGATTGTGAATTTTAAAGGTCTTCACGAACTGTTGCACGGGATTTTGACTCACATTGGGTTGAAATATGACGGGAAAAGTTTAAAGGAAGTTCGCAATGGAGCAAGTTTGGAAAGGCCAAGTGACAAAGAAGAGATAATAAAGACGTCTAAAGGAGTTCCGATAGAATCTGGTGAAAGCGCTCGAGGCGATAAAACTAGTGGTTCGGAAGAAGAAGAGAGACCAGAAGATGAAGACAAGGAGGTTTTTGAAGGTGATCATGATCAGATAAGCTCACTTCATGAACGCGAACAACTGGAACAGCATGATTCAAAAACGGACGAGGAGATTTCAAAAGATCAAGATGTAGAATCGTAAGTATTAGCTTGTTTATTTAAGTTGTCTAAGACCTTTTCCATCATTTGTGTGCATGATGTTTAAGAAACTCTTAAGAGGAAAGAGTACTTCAGATATAGGAAATGTTATTCTAAAAAGGTTTGTTATCTTAACATATTTTTTATGTCAAAATAACATTATCATTCTCACGTGTCTTGAAGAACACCTTAAAAGTGACATTAATAATTCTTGAAATATTTATCAGAATTTGACTAGAAATAATCGAAGTTTGCTGGAATAAATCCAGCTAAATCCGCTACAAATCATGAGAATATTTTCTAAGGTTTCTAGGCCTTGGTAATGACGAACACACACGTATAGAATTCTAAATAATCCCTTAATCTAGCGTGAAATTCAGAACAATTCAAAGCTTACAAAATACTAATGACTGTTTTCATGATAAAGTCGACAAATATCCATCCTGATTCTATAAGAATTATACTCGGATTTTCAAGTATAAATAACTATTTATGTAAAAGAAGAAAAATACTTGGAAAAAATTGTTATTTTCGCGGGAATAGAGGTCAGAAATATTTTGATCGATTTTGTTGACATTCAAATGGTTTTTTGTTACTTAGGTAACGGCGCGTGCAGTCGACTCCGTTATTAAAAATTTAACAGTATAAATCTGTTATTTCTTGAATAATATATGTGTAAAATCCTGGACAGAAATTGAGCTTAATTATCTAACAATAAAACTCTCAGTTTTCTCTGAATTTATTTTAGGTTTTTGATTTAGAATTTGCAATTCATAAACGATTAATTAGGTGAAGTAAAATGATGTAACATTGTAACATTAATCATTTTTTGTTTTAGATTATTTTTCTTAAGAACATTCGAGTTATATAATAAAAAATATATGGAAAATTATATTTTTATATTTAATGAAATGGCTTGTAAAAGTCTCCCCGAAACCTAAATTTTATTAAATTATTTATTAAAAGTAAGTGAGTAAAGTATACTGTTTGTATAGTTTGTTTACATTAAGTTTTTTTACAAATTGTATTTTATTTTTTTCCGAAATCTTGAATTTTATTCAAAGTAATTGAAAAATAAAATGGCAACACTTTGGGTCAAAACGAAACATTTTTAATAGGAAATTTTTAATAAGATTATCAGGATTATGTTATTTGGGCAAGCTATTATCTTTCTTTGCAATCAGACATCTTATTCGGTGGGGTTTTTTTACAGTTCAATCCTAGCAAAGGTAAGCTGTTTTGGAAAGTAAATTACAAAATTACATGCAAAGCTTTTTTTGTTGTTTTAACATGAAATACATTTTTCCTGAATTATTATTATTATTATTTATTTTTTGTCCTGAAAATTCAAAAATAAATGTTTCAATTGATAGTTGTATTTATTGAATATTGTATGCAGTGGTAGTGTGTATGTGTGTGTGTGTGTGTGTGAGTGAAGTGAAAGTTTTTGAAACATGACCAAATTTGAAACATGTATTCATTCTGAATTTGTTCCCCTCTATAAAAAATATTATCATTGTCATGTATTATCATCATTGTCATCACCATCCCCACCACCACCACCATTATCATCGTAATCACCATCACCATCACCATCACCGCCATCACCACCACCATCATCACCATCATCTTCATCCCCATCACCATCATCATCATCACCAACATCTATCACCATCATCAATCATCACTACAAACTTCATCACCATTACATCATCACCACCACCACCACCATCATCACCATTATTGTCATTTGGCAAGAGACATTCACTCTCTCCCCCTATTTACGCCTGTACCACTATACCTGTCATACCCTTTTTTTTTTCTTGATCGACAGCCTGCGGTCAAAACAGAGACACCTGGAAAACAAAATCAGCAATCTTGAAGACAAACTTAAACTCCTAGATGAACTGCCTTCAAATAAAGCTATCATACAGGAAGCCCAACAGACTGACTCTTCAGATACTGACAACAGAAATAAAGAGAGTACCCTCTCTGGAGTTTGGCAGTTTATGAAGATAAACAGTAGRCTGCAAGCCGCTGAAGAAGGGATCGATAGAGTCATGTCTTTACTCAATGAGTTCCTTGGTGGTGGAAAGACCTTAGGTGAAATGTCAGGAAACATCCAAGATTTATCCAAAGAACTCCAGAATTTGAAAAATCAGCTCAATGAAAAAACACCTAAAGATATGGAAAATGTGTTGAAGAACTTAGTGAAAAAAGAGGATTTAAGGGAATATGTGAAGTGGCCGGCATTGGAGGAGGCATTACAGATACAGAAGGATAAAAACAAGAAGGTGAAAAGTGGTGGGAATGTGGATATTATGGATGTGGAGAAGGAGAGGAAGATGTCAGGTGGATCTTATGAAGGAAGGCCGCAGACCTCACCTGCTTCTCCCACTCAGGATCCTTTGTCTGATGTGCCGAAGACTGCAATGTTGAGTGAGTTTACTCAGGTAGGTTGCTTGATGTATTGATACTCTGTTGTAGTTATTAGCATCATCATCATCATCGATCATCTTTATAATGATAATTCTTCGTTATTATCATCTTGCATCATCATGCATCATCATTATTGCATCATTATCATCATACTTTATCAATCATCATCGTCATGCTTCATCATCATCATCATCATCATTACTTCATGGACCATCATCATGCTTCATTATCATGCATCATCATCCCTATCATCATCACATTATCATCACCATTTCCATCATGCTTTATCCATTATATCATCATCACCTCCATAGGGTTAGGCTTCACGAATTTGCAACGTCCCCTGTGATTGGTTAGGTTTAGGGGCAGGGTTGGGGAAAGGTCATTGTTTTCTATTGTTCTACACATGTGCACCCTCCAATAGGATCACATCTTGCAAATTCGTGAAGGACGACCCCCTCCATAATCACCATCACCATCATCATCTCAATCACAATCATCACCATAGTCACAATCACCATCATCACTATCATCATCTCAATCACCATCACCACCATCATCACCACTACCACCATCGTTTTTGCAATTATCATCACCATAATCGTTTTTGCCAACATCATCATCATCTTCAACATCCTCAAAATCACCACCACCATTATCGTTATCAACATTATTACCAACACTATCCTTGTGTTCTTGATCCGACCATCTCGAATATAAAATCGGCAATTGAACACAATGACTGATAGTTCCACCGCCTCCTTTAGTATACGTTGCTCTTCACCATAACATCCTGACCAATAGTCTGATCGATCATCTGTAACTGATTCTTTCAGGTCTCTTCAAATGAGCTTCCCGAAGACCAAGATACTACACACCCCTCCCCTGAGGTGGTCGAGTGTCTTCGTCGTATCGGAGAACTTTCGGACGAGCACGACAAGGTAGAGAAACAGGTTAACGAAATGAATAAAATTCTGTCCAACAAAATGGACAAGCGAGACTTCAACATTCCTCAAGACCTACAGGACAAGTTGGATGCTCTACAAAAAGGTAATTGTGGATGTACTTTTAGAAATATGAGACTAGAAAGCGTCGCCATAGTCTCGAAGTCTCGCAAACCAAAGCCAGCAGAGTAGACTGAAAGTATACGTTAACTTGTACTAAAGCAATTTTCGTAGGACTGTGAAAAACTCAGTTTCATATGCGTGCCGTGCCGTGACCGTGATGTTTTTCTCGCGCAATGTTATTGGTCTGGCAGTGCAGTGACTTTGGCGTGACCGTGTTCGCTGATTGTGCTGTGTTTCGGGTATTCAATAATTGAATGAGTAAATTCTCGCGCGATGTGATTGGTTAGGCGTATACCTTCCTGTGTCACGACCGCGCTCGTGCCCTGAGCTATTCACAATTAGAGTTTAGAATTTATTCAAATTGTAAATATTTTCAACTTCATGCAGGCTTTAACATCCAGCTGCAAAACAGCATCACACAATTATATTAGCAATTCCGAGGGTTAGGAAAAAACTGGGTCGAGTTGATATTGCAGTGCATTGTGGGACTATTTTAGGGACGAAATAGACGCCATCTTAAAAATATGTCCCCTACTAGTCGTTTACCTACAGCCCCACAATGCACTGCAATGGCAACCGACCCAATTTTCTTCTCAACTTTGGAACGACTAATATAGTCATCTTAAGGAGGCTCTGGGCAGTTTTGGTCTGGCACACCTAGCCGCATTGAAACGGCTACAACTTCGTCTTGAATAACTCGATCTGTAAGCACTTTTCACACAATGTCAGGAAAGGATGAAAGATTTCAAAAATGATAAATTAGTTTTAAGGCACTCAAATTAAAATAAGTTACGCTCACAACTAAAAGCACACGACAAGGAATAACACGGAAGTCAAGCGTGAATAATCAACAAGCAGCCGTGAGCGAAAATAGTTGTGAGCGTACTTATTTTTATTTGACTGCCTTAAAACCCTTCAATGCATATGAAATTAAAGGAGAATATTTGTAAGAGATACATCTTTTAGTGACTTCATTTAGAAAAAAATCGTTCGACGATTTTTTGAATACGCTTTTGACAACAAATGGGGTCATTTAGCTTCATATCAAAAGATCCATAACGTTGCGGAAAGAAAGTCACAATTTGATTCATACTCAATAAGGACAGTGTCTATATCCGTACCTATATTCTAGCTACTAAAAATATTGAATCCAATAAATTAAAGTCCCGATTTTGAGGGTATAAACTCGACACGCTGGAAATAATAGTAAAAGTCCATGAAAATATTCATCGCGTAATTTTTGGAAAATACTCTCATACATTTTTTTCATATTGCAATATGTTGGTTGCCTTGATGAATACTATCGACTGGTGCAAGTCGCTTTGAAAGTTTAGGTCTAGTTTTCCAGAAAATAAGCGGTAAACGATTTTTATGATGTCATCATTACGTCATAACGAAAAGGCCGCTTWAAACTAATTTATCATCTTTGAAACCTTTAATCCTTTCCTAACATTGTGTGAAAAGTGCTTGCAGATCGAGTTATTCAAGACGAAGTTGTAGCCGTTTCAATGCGGCTAGGTGTGCCAGACCAAAACTACCCAGAGCCTCCATAAGAATGACGGATTAAACGCCATCTTGGAAATATGTCCCCTAAAGCAGCCCCACGATGTACTGCAATGCCAGCTGGACCCAATTTTCTTCTCAACTTCGGGACGACTAATATAGTCATCTAAAGAATACTCTAGAGCACAGAAAGCTCTCGAATTTGGAAAAAATAGTGTCTATAACTAGAATTAAGTTTATAATTCTGTTTTCAATTTTCGACGACAGGCTTGGACAGTCTCATGCAAAATGGCGCCTCGGTTAGTGGCGGTAAAGAAGTCAAAGACGTTGCATATGATAACAAAGAGAAGATTGATGCAATTAGACGAGAATTGGCTGCAATGGCTCGGCAGGCCAAGCAGTCGTACATCGAAAGACCTCCAAATGTACCAGCTATTGATAACGAAGCGTTGGATGCTATAAGAAATAAACTATCTGAGCTGCAAGATAAACAGGTCAAACAGGACACGAACGCTGGGAACACGGATCAGAAAATAGCAGAACTGATGGAAGATTTAAACCTCAAAAAGGTATTGGTTTTAATATATGTATTTTTCAACTACCATTTAGTTCCAACCCTCGATTTTATGATCACCTGAAATTCTGTACTTATCTCAGTTAGGGCACGACTAGTTCACTGATCAAAGTCTGTGCCCGGTCGTACGAGGGGTAGATAAAGCGCTATCCAACGGATAAATATTATCCAGTGGATATATTTATTGCATATCAGCATCGACTTATCCACTCGATAAGGACTATCCGCTCTTCATACAACCGGGCCCTGAAAAATCTCGTACCCAGAGCCTTTATTTCTTACTGCGCATGCTCAAATAAATAGATTTTATTTTTTTATTTTTTTTCATAGCTTTAGTTTTATTTATCCTTTTTGTACGTGCATTTAATATACAAGCCTCTAAATCTATACAGGATTAAATCTTTTGTATACTTTATTATTTCTATTTTTTTATTTTTGAAGTATAATTTATTTACCACGAAAGGTAACGAAATAAATATTTATTTCGTCGAGCATGCTCAGTAAGAAATAAAGGCTCTTTGTACGAGAATGGGTCCTGAAGATCAAGATTTTTTGCTTGAATGAGTGGTGTCCATAACCATGTGTCTTCTCAGCGCAATGATGCGGGGGGGCCCCAACCTAATAGCATTCATGTTTTTCGGGTACCCCCTTCAATGTTTTAAAATATCCTCCCGACTTAAATAATGACTAGTCCCTAATTTACTTCCCTAGCCAGRATGATACTCGATATATTGATCGACTCATTTCTCCGATTAACCCTGGGATTTCTCTTCTCTTCTCTTCAGGAACACATCGACAACTTATACAAATACATTCAGGATCTCCAAGACAACAAAGCTGACAAAGACAACGTTGCCATGGAGATGGATCACAAGGCAGACAAATCGGCATTGCAAAATATGGTGAACACAACAACCTTTGATAGCTCGTTCAACATGCTGGACGAAGGACTCAAAGAAGCGCTGCAGAAAATGGATGAGTACATGAATGAAGAATTGGCCTTAAAGCAAGCATTGAAGCAGCTATCCTGTGATATGAAAGAGAAAATGGACAATGAGGCTTTGAAAGCTTTGCAGAACTATCTAGGTAAGAAATAACTATTTTCACACGCTAAATAATAGCCGTGTCCCGAGTAATTATAGTTAACTATGCTTTAATCAACACAGAGCTCGTTTCATAAGATATGAAGGTTACTTTGCGCAAAAGAAAGTTGTTCTGATTTGCAACTTCTAACTCTTACAAACTTTTATCTGCACTTGTATGAACGATACGAGTGATTTTGCTTCCTTTAATTCTAAACAACAACACGCTTCCACAAGATACAACGAACCTTCTCCCCCTCTGCCCCAGGCTCTCTCTACTTACAACAAAGGGTTCCCGAACCTAGGCTAAATCTAATACGCACAAACAGTACTTATTCCAATCTTGACGCGTCTTTAGAGAAAAGAATCGCAGATGTACAGAAATCCCGTACGATGATCGCACGTGAAGCTAATGTAGACCTGACAGGAGCTGCAGGGCTGCGCCGACCTTTACCTATCGACTTCCACTGTATATCATGCAATAGACCTGTGGAAGTCAAATACAACAGTGATGTACAACCCTCGTTGCCTAAGGCGGATAGTATGCACTTGAAGCGGTCAAAAGGACCATATATCTCGTATGAAATGGATCAGGTATGTGATGTATTAGGGAAGGTCTGTACTGGTGATATGGACCTAGTTTATAGAAAACTTGTTGTACATAACAATAGGTTTCCAATTGTCCTATTTCATAATGACGTCACAGTTTGTTTACATCGGCTAAAATGATAGAAATTTAGGGTAAATTTAAGCTTAATTCTCTCCTTTCGAGATATATTTAGCGTAATATTTAGTTGTTCTTGCCTTCACCAGCTCATAAACCACATTTCATTTTGATTTAAGATGTGTTGTTCTCATCCATCTCCCTCCAGCGATCATGATCCCTAGCGTTAAAACAAGTTTGTTTTGATGTGACGTTATTATGAAATAGGGCAATTGTCATAAGATTGATATTCTTTTGTTTTCTCCTGCAAGTTGAGTTGCTTTGACATCACATGCAAGTGGTCTGTTTGGAAAAAGTCTATTACGTTTTTTGTCGATTGTTGATCGCTAGAATTTATTTGTTCACTTTTGTTTTCATGAAGGTTCGCCATTATCAGCGGCCCATGTATCGACCAGACAAGCTGACCAGCGGTGACCTGGTGACAAGTAGACCGTGTGGAGGCAGCCATACTGTGATGACCCAACCAATCAGAAAACCCGTCAGGCTACATAACTCACAGCTCAGCCACGTGCTGAATGGTATGTATCCTTAGTGCGTAGATGAAACTTCGGAACATTGACGGTACGGTCACGCAATCACAACACACTCTGAACCAATCACAGCGCACAAGATTACTATTTGACCAATCTGAATGTATTGTCACGTTGGCACTTGAATGTCACGATACGGCGCAAATCACGACGACATTCGTTGAACCTATCACAACGTGTGAGATAACGGGTCATACAATAAGAATTATCGGTGACGCCGGCACTTTTATTGTCACGGCACGGCTTATGACAATCATAGCGCAAAATATCAATGCTTCCTTTCTAAATCTTTAATAACTACCTTTTAGGCTCAAGTCGAGAGGAACCGCCTGTTACGTACCCTAGATGGACTCGCGAGGTATCAATCATCGACTTTGTTAAAGGGAGTGATGGACACGTGTATAAGGGAAGATATAAGGTATAGACTATTAAAATGCTCTAATAAGCGGGTTTTCTTATGAGCGGAAATGATTTACGTTAAATAAATAGCCGTGCACAAAGACGTACCGTGTAGACTGCGAGCTAAGTCCCTCTATTTCCCTTAGTCACTGTCCGTCTGTCTTGGAACTTTTGACTCGTAACCAATCTTCCTCGAACTTAGCTCGCAGTCTATAACGTACCGTGCCGTACCATAAACACAACTGTGTGTATGCGTTACCATTTAAATGTTATGGCACGTCGTACACTGTACGTGCTGTAAGTCAGTACCCTGTGTTGCCCACTCATACCATAACCATTCTTACGGGAAGCCATTTCAATGTTACGACATAGGCCTTTTCTGAGTTCAATAAACAGAATGCATTGTGGTCTAGCTGGGGTACAAACAACACCATATAAGGCATGATGTTTGTACCGAAGCTAGACCACAATGCACCATGTTCGCTATCTCAGAACAAGTCTATGTAGTACAGTGTATGAGCTGTAAGTCAGTACCGTACGTTTTCCACTCATTCTCGACTTTCACATCCCCATAATCCTTTGAGTCTTTGGGGGGTAACCAGAGGGTAAAAACCCACTTATTTTGCTGAAGGCCGATCAGACAAGGTTGAAAATATCTTGTTTGGTATCCAAAGATAAAATGAAGAAGTAAAAAACAGAAAAAGATAGAAGCTTGAAGACGTTTAAGGCAAATTTTAAACATTTTTTCGTAAGTCAATACATTTTCTGTAAGACCAAAACTCTTCATGATCTGTACACGCAAAAATAACTTGGAATAAACTGATAATCAGTATTGTACAGATAAAAGCAGGTATAATATAAATTCAATTAAGAAATCTTTCAATTTGGGACAGTTTTTTGATTGGTTACCCCCCAAGGCATTATGGGGATGTGAAAGTCGAGAATACGAAAACCGCTCGAAAGAGTACAGACCTCAATGACTCCTGTTTTGCAGGCAATACCACCCATATCACGAAAACACAAACACACTCCCTCAGAAAGTGATCTACCACCTCTAGACAAAGACTCCACCCCTCCTCTGACGAGACCAAAATGGAGCTCTGAACCGGAACTGTCGAGACACTTAAACGAGGTAAGACCGCTGACACCGAATTGGTCTTCGCTCATTAAGCTACTTCAAATATTGACTGGAAAAATTGTATCTTTATTACAAGTGAATGAGAAAGTAACTTAAAAAGCTTGTAAAAACGTATCTAACTATACTAACGTTTAGGAAGTTAGTCTTTTGTCAGGGTACAAGGTGTTTCATACGGTGTTTAATCTAGTATATGGCTTACTGTATTATCAATCACGTGACCTTTTGGAGTTGACTGAAGGGCAACTAGCGGATGTTAAGTCAAAACATGTCAAAATAAGTCCTAAAACTGTTGTATTTGACTATTTCTACGACGTGAAACCAGAAAACAAGAGATCAAAACAACCTCCAAGATTCTACAAGCCATCAAAAAAGAGCTATTACCGGAAGTGACGTCTATTGATAGCAAGCTAATGAACACACCATCGCAGTCCCAACTTCTAGCCACTAAGCCTTTTTCAGCTTGCATCTTGTTGAACTTTATACATTTGTAGGATTTTTCATTAAAATTATAGGGAGAAAAAATTATTGTGCGTTGGTACACGTTTTCCAAGAATGATGAGACTATAAGCCGAAGTTTTCTCAAAACAAATAAGACTGACTGACTCTTTGTTTGATTTTAGTCCTCGTCACCAGATGAAAGAGAGCAAGTCAATAAGAATAGAGACAATCAAGAACACATACGTACCACCCCTCCCCTGTCTAAAAGCGTGTCGCCAAACACGCGCATCAAGAGAATTCTGAGTCAAAGATCACCTGATCAGGACCTAGAACGAGTGCCCTCTCCTTCACCACCAACCGCGAGGGAGAATGAGCACCAACATAGAATGAGTAGAGAAGAGTTCTTAGCGAAGGTAAAAGCGAGAAACTTTGATTAATAAGTATCTTCTTATTTAAACATTTTATAATAAAATTGAACGATAAAAACAAAACAAGTCAACAAAAAAAACCTTTTTGTCTGATTATGTTATAGGACGTTTGCACGATGTCATCATTTGACTCCCACTACCAAGATGCTTCGCGAAATTTCCCTCATGAGAATAGTAAGACAATTGGTGCTAATTAACTGAACAAAAGAAAGTGTGCAAGGGAGTCTGGTAGTAGAGGTCAATGACGCCATCATGCAAACGTTCTATTATATATCTGTTTTATATCTATTGTTATTATTTCTTTATATATTCTTCTTTTCTAGTTTCTATTTTGACTTGTTAATGACGTTGTGCAACGTCGAAACGTCGTCACATTTTTTAACATGTTTTATAATTTGGTGTTAATATTATATAGGGGACCTAGAGTCCTTTTGTATTATTACCTGCCCTTGGGCGAATCATAAAATAAATAAATGAATAAATTGTTCAATTTTATTATGAAACTTTTATTAAGTTTTTCTAATTTTATTGTTTGTTTTGTTTTGCAAAGAAGAATTGACTTAACACTTATTTGTATTTTAATTTTTTTACTGTTTTGTTCAGCAACAACAAGAAATGGCAGAAGACCGGCTATTTTCTCCACGAAAACATCAATCTGAACTGCGCACTACTCTCAGTGAAATAGAACATACTGAAGATTCGCTAAACAAGGTAAAGACAGAATGCTGACCTTAATTCTTTTGCATCGTGCGGTCATTGTCTTGMTCGCATAATATTTTCTTCGATGACTTCTTGTTTCTTCGTTCTTTGGCAATTTTCGCAGTTTACTAGTTTGCTTACTTACTTGTTTGCTTGCTTCCTTGTCTATTTGTTTACTTGCTTGTTTGTTCTTTCCTTGTTTGTTTGCTCTTTTGTTTGTTTGCTTAATTGTCTGCTTGTTTGTTTGTTTGCTTGCTTGTTTGTCTGCTTGTTGCTCGCCAGCTTGCTTGTCAATTTGCTTGTT